CAAATGGCCTAGCAAGTGAAGCACTCAAGCCCAACACACTGAAAAGAAGCTGCAGCACTTGATCCCATAGCAAGGAGTTGAGTTGTTTGATGAATCACTGAATTATTAGATTATTTGTCTGTTAACTGCTTCTACATCCTTTTGTGTGGTCCTCTGTAGCTCAACTGGTAGATCATGGCGCTTGTAACGCCAAGGTAGTGGGTTCGATCCCCGGGACCACCCATACACAAAAATGTATGCACACATGACTGTAAGTCGCTTTGGATAAAAGCGTCTGCTAAATGGCTTATTATTATTATTATTATTATTATTGTGTGTGTAATGAAACGAATTACAGCCCTGCACAGTTATTGGCCTATGCCACAAATCAGAATAAACATGTGCACACATGTTTTGCAAGCTTCCAATTTGGCAATGCAAAAGAGAGTCTTAAGAATAAATGACGTTGGGAGTGACTAGTGGGAGGTATGGGTCAGGAGACGGAGTGGGAGGGAGGGTTGGGTCTTACTGAGATAAGAGAAGTGGTCATTAACCTGTGATTCACAGTAGTCAGAATGTCGACTCTATGGCTGCATCCCAGGCCTTATCACATACTGTTGCACATTCATGAAGACCTGTAAACCACTTCCTGTCCTAGCCTTCCCTACTTATGGCCAACCTGTATATCTTATATCAATTAATGAGAATAGGTGAAGCAGTTTAAAATGTGGTTAACCCCGCTTTTCTCAAGAGCCAAGTGATACTCTTTTATGTCTATTTAATTCAATATGATCATCCCAGAACAAGCCTTAACCTTTTAAAGTAGGCACTTATCTGTATTTTGAGTTATGGCAGTAATCCAAACAAAACTTTACGCTAGTTCCTCTTGCCCCATGCTTAACTGGGTGGCATTTATCATTTGCATGCTTAGAGCCTTGCGAGCTTTGGCAACGTGCCTCTACTTGAAGTTTTAAAAAAATTAAGAGTGAAACACAGTCAATGGAGCATTGCAACTGACAAGGTCGGTTTAATTAAGGAATGTATGCAATACCTGACCTTTCCACGCCCTACAGCAGCTTTTCTCTGCTTTTTATTTGTGCATGCATGGTGAATTCATCCACCCACAGTGTTATGCAAGCAATCAAAGCGAGAGCCAGATGCTTTTCACCCCACAGATAAGAAAAACCGATGGGTGAGCTTTGAGGCTGAAGCTACAAGCTATCTCTTCCCACAGAAGGCCCAGCTAGGGCTCCTACAAAAACAGATCAGCTAACCCTGATTTACATCTAATCTAAACATTTTGAGAGAGAGAGTTTGTGTGTGAGGGGGCGGGGGCGGGAGGGGGGGATCTTTGCAGGTCCATGGCAACTTGGATTGCTGATCAGATTTACTATAGCTATGATAAAGAAGACACTTCATTCTTTTGATAAAGAAGATCCCCTCTGGTCTTTTATGATTTTGAACAATTACAGTATCATGATTGAGTAGGCTATTTGGCATCCGGTATCAAAATGTCCTCAGCCCATTGTCTGTTACTCAACACAAACATTGCCTTCTATGCTGTGCTAAAGGGAGAGGATTAAACATGAGCTTCTCTCACTTGCCCTCTCAGTGACCCTTTCGCTTAACACTCATGGATGTGCAATTATTTGGGATAATAGTTGTAGTGAACCTCTCTCTCTCTCCGGTATTTGCTCACTTCGTATTTGCCTTTTTAAGAATTAAGCCTGAGAAGTTTGATTGAACATGCTAAACCTTAACCACGGATTGCAAATGTTAAAAGTGAATTTAGCGGGGCCCCAATACAGTGCCTTGGGGAACACCAATAATCAAATAATGTCCGTCCATGATGCCTAATTATTTTCAATAAAATCACTTCTGTGCTGGCACAGCTTAAAGACACTGAAGCAGAAGCCGCACCAGTCTGTACAACTAATTCACAAGTTGTAATAAAGAACATTCCTTGGTCCAAAGAATAGCTCTAACCCTACATCCTTACCATTAGCGTGTGAGTTTGCGACAGCTCATGTATATCTCCTTGAAAGTCAACCAAGTGTACTACCAAGCAACCTGCAGTAGTGAATCATCATCACCAGTTCATTGGTAATCCTTTGGCAATGGAGTGGCTATTAAACCACAGGTATGATTGAGGATTATACAGGTGCAGAGAGAGAGAAACCTCCCACCACAGAGAATCTGATCAGACAGGTTTCATCTTTAACTCCTGTCTGTCATTGAGTTATTTGCATTTGACACTGGTGTCACTTCAAACGAAGTCGTTTGAAGTGGAGCATCATTCCCATGCTATATTCCTGTCAATCACAATGACTTGTACTGTCATCAAGTTCAACTTGATCTTTTTTATGTGTCAATATAGCTCCAGGCAAGGTTTCGCAACCGTTTCAATTTCTCAGTTGAAAGGTCATGTTGAATTTGAACTCCAATCAATTGCTAAATCGAACAATAGCATTATTTAACAGTAATAATAATGCACATTAAATCGCCTTACCCACACAGAACTCCACTACTACATTGTATGTTGTTTGAGTGTGGGTCTGAAAGAAAGGCATGTGATCAATGGCATGTAATTAACACACACATGCTGCTTTTGTGCCTATGTTCTTTTGAGATGTGTGTAAGGGGTGTGTTCATATTTGTTTATCCTGCCCCTTACAAACCAAAAGTCAACTCCATACCAAGTCATGGCCATTTTGATTAGCCACCTCCAGTTGCTTACAATCTCTCCCATTCACCTACTCCCATTCTGGGCTTGCCTCTTGTCAGCCCGGCCCTTTGATGAATGAACGAGTAACTCAAGTCACTGGCTGCTCAATCATTCTATGCAAAATCCTACTTCCTTACATCACTATGGTTTTAATTGCCTGAAATCGTATGTATCTAACCTTAAAGTATCGATCTACACATGCAGAATTCAGTTTCTATCTTGTAGGTGGAAGTATCAGCATACGATAGAATTGTGAGTGTAGAGAGCATGATGTTAAATGCTCCAGTGTGGTAGAAATAAATTACAGAAGTGTGTTGCATGGATGCAGGGTGGCAGTGTGGAGTGTGTGGATAGCTCTGCAGTGTACAGGTGACAGTGTTACTTAAGGGAAGTCATTTGTTATGGAAGTGGCAGAAGTGTATCTAAGCAGTGTTATGGGTCCTTTTCTGCGTTAAAATGGAGCTATTGGGAATGAGAACTGCCAGTTTTTTCAAATTTTTTTATATTTTTGGACAAAAACAGGAAAAACTGAAATGGCTTGATTATTGTTATCTTGCTTGAAATGTAGATTTTCACATGTGGGTGGGATTAAATGTGGAATGCCTGTCATTGGCCAAATGCACAGCCAACACTTCCTCCCAAGCAACAAAAAAGTATATTGTAATACATTGAACAAAAATATAAATGCAACATGTAAAGTGTTGGTCCCATGTTTCATTAGCTGAAATAAAAAATCCCACACATTTTCCATACGCACAAAAAGCGTATTTCTCTCAAATGTTTTTCACAAATTTGTTTATGTCCCTGTTAGTGAGCATTTCTCCTTTGCCAAGATAATCCATCCACCTGACAGGTGTGGCATATCAAGAAGCTGATTAAACAGCATAATCATTACACAGGTGCACTTTGTGCTGAGGACAATAAAAGGCCACTCTAAAATGTGCAGTTTGGTCACACAACACCATAAATGTTTCAAGTTTTGAGGGAGCGTGCAATTGGCATGCTGACTGCAGGAATGTCCACCACACTGCTTGCACCCGTCCACCCGACTAGAATCACTACTCTCGGCAGGTCTGACTTAGAATATGTGGACAACTAAAAATACCTAGGTGTCTGGTTAGACCGTAAACTCTCCTTCCAGACTCACATTAAGCATCTCCAATCCAAAGTTAAATCTAGAATCGGCTTCCTATTTCGCAACAAAGCTTCCTTCACTCATGCTGCTAAACAGGCCCTCGTAAAACGGACTATCCTACCGATCCTTGACTTCGGCGATGTCATTTACAAAATAGCTTCCAACACTCTACTCAGCAAATTGGATGTAGTCTATCACAGTGCCATCCGTTTTGTCACCAAAGCCCCATATACTACCCACCATTGTGACCTGTATGCTCTCGTTGGCTGGCCCTCACTACATATTCGTCGCCAAACCCACTGGCTCCAGGGCATCTATAAATCACTTCTAGGCAAATCCCCGCCTTATCTTAGATCATTGGTCACCTTAGCAACACCCACCCGTAGTATGCGTTCCAGCAGGTATATCTCACTGGTCATCCCCAAAGCCAACACCTCCTTTGGCCGCCATTCCTTCCAGTTCTCTGCTGCAAATGACTGGAACGAACTGCATAAAGTACAAATTTAAAATACACATTTGAAATGTAGCACAATAAAACGAAATAAGATGAGAATTATATTTCAGAACAAGTGTTTTCATAAGTGTGAAGTAATAACAGGTTTTCTTCATCATTAAAAACAATAACAAGTAATAAGTTATCAGAAGCTTTATTTGATTTCAAACGACTAAAATACAATCTAAAAGTTATACTAACTTGCGTAAATGTGTCAAATTAGATGACTCGCTGACTCACTCCACAACTAAACACCTAAATGCATATACTGCCATCTTCTGGACAAATTAAGTGTAAGCGCTTTACAAGGAAACTGAATGCAATAAGATACAATTGTTTGGCATTGAACAAATTCCATCACCTCTGCATCCCTATACCTATTTCAGAGTATATTTCAGAACTTTTTAGATTACTGTTCAAACAGAAACCTCAGTGCATTACTTATTCACAGCAATGATGAAAGGCACATTAACAGGAATTATTGCAGACAGAGATCCTGTGAAAACATGTTTTCTAGCATGAAGGTGCATTGTGATACTGGTCATTTAAAGGCATTAATGCTCCTTTGATGGAATGCAATGTAATAGATATGTATTAACTATAAGTAGTGTGACTATTTGTCATTATGCCTTGCTCCTCTGTCCACTCAGAATGGCACACTGTTGTCATCAGTTTCTCCCATCGCTGTCCTCATCCACCGCTGGATCCGAGGACTGGTGGCTGGGGAATGCAAAGTGAGAGAGACAGCAAAAGAGAGAGGGAAAACGAAAGAGAGGGTGAACTGAGAGATTGAGACAGAGAGAGAAGGCACTGTGAAGGACACCCATGTACTTTATCAATCATAATCATTAATCTTATCATGAATACGACTTTACAAGAACAGTCAAGCTGAAAATGTGTCTCTGTTAACCCACTTTGAAAACTGCGGTTCTCACCTGACACCTGTTTTGTGTAGGATTCCCGACGGACCTCCTGGGCCTTTTCTTTTTCTTTCACGGCAGCTGATATGGAGAGGGCGGCCATTTTACAGACGCTGATCCGCTCTTTGCCTCCACCTCCACTGCCTCCGCTTCCTGTGTTCCTGATGGTCACTCTGCTGGGGCTGCTGGCTGGACCACCACTGCTGGTAATCACTCGACTGCCTCCACTGCTGATCCTGACTCCACCCGCTGTAATACTAATTCTCTGTCCACTAGTACCTGCACTACTGATCATATGTCCACTACCCGCACTACTTAGTCTACCTCCACTTCCTGTGCTACTGCTACTCAGTCTACCTCCACTTCTAGCACTACTGATAATGTGTGCATTGCTGATTCTTCCCCCACTTCCTGCCTTACTGATCTGTCCATTACTTCCACTATTAACCTTCCATTCTCCACTTCCTGCACTGCTAAGTCTACCAGTCCTTTCATTGCTCGCATTTCTGTTAAACTGAGAGACATTTTCGGAATTCACATGGGTCCAGACTCCACTGCCGATACTATTACATTTAATTTGATCTCCACCACCGGTACCACTTATCTTATGTCCACTACCTGGACTACAGAGTCTGCCTCCACTACCTGGACTACAGAGTCTGCCTCCACTACCTGGACTACTGAGCCTGCCTCCACTACCTGGACTACTGAGCCTGCCTCCACTACCTGGACTACTGAGTCTGCCTCCACTACCTGGACTACTGAGTCTGCCTCCACTACCTGGACTACTGAGTCTGCCTCCACTACCTGGGACTCCACTACCGGGACTACGGAGCCTGCCTCCACTACCGGGACTACGGAGCCTGCCTCCACTACCGGGACTACGGAGCCTGCCTCCACTACCGGGACTACGGAGCCTGCCTCCACTACCTGGACTACAGAGCCTGCCTCCACTACCTGGACTACGGAGCCTGCCTCCACTACCGGGACTACGGAGTCTGCCTCCACTACCTGGACTACGGAGTCTGCCTCCACTACCTGGACTACTGAGTCTGCCCCCACTACCCGGACTACTGAGTCTGCCCCCACTACCTGGACCACTGAGTCTGCCTCCACTACCTGCACTGCTGATTCGTCATGTACTAGCACCATAAACCATTCATTCTCCACTTCCTGCACTACTTGGTCTACCTCCACTTCCTGCACTAGTTATCATGTGTCCACTTCTTGCACTAGTTATCATGTGTCCACTTCCTGCACTAGTTATCATATGTCCACTTACCACATTATTCATCATATGCCCACTTCCTGTCCTGCTGATCAAACCACCACTGCCTACACTAGTCATACGTCTAGTACGTATCATGCTTCCACTCCTCACATTACTGGTGATCTCCACTGCACTCTCCACTGTACAAGCTGGCACTTTTACCACTACACCTGTGGCACTGCTGATCGTATTGTCACTTGCAGCGCTGCTAATCTGTACAACATTGGTGATCAGTTCTGCACTGCTGATTGGAACAGTACCTTCCACTTTCTTCACCTGGATCACAGTTTCCTTAGCCTCGCTTACCGTGCTAATAGCGTTATCGCTGTCAGTAGTCTGACACACGGATGGGAACGAGACTACTACAGTTTCTACAGTGCCTATGTCACCTGTAAAGACAGGGTCAATCATTTGAACATCCCTGCTAATCCTACCTTCACTCTCCATCAAGGTTGTTTGAGCTCTATACTCCCTGTGGACAATTGAACCTCACATTCCGTGTGCTGATCATCTCAACCACACTTGCTGCCATTTTAGGTCAGATCACCACCCTCAGCACTGTGGATCTCAACCACACTTCCAGTCAGGTCACCAGCCTCATCAGCACTCTTCATCTCAACCACACTTGTTGTTATGATTGTGCTAGTCAGGTCACCACCCTGAGCAATGCTCATCTGAACTCTACTCTCCTCACAGTTTGTTTGACCTGCATCTTCTGCATCACCAACTACAGAGGTGACTTCCAGCTCATCAACCAGTCTTCCGCTTTCAACCCTGCTGCTCACCACAGCTTCACTCTCTCTGGATATACTGCTTATCTCCTCAATTATAGTTTTTTCTATGATAACAAGCTCTCCATGTTCAACATTTCTCATCTCAAATCGGTCTTCCGAATGGGTGATAATTACCTCTGTTGGCTGACTGCTTGGCTGAGCCTCATTTTCTGTGATGTGTATCTCCAAGGAGCAGAGCTGTGCTCCAGTTTCAACACAGCTGATCTGACTGCCATTTCCTACACTGGTTATCTGAACAACACTTTCCACAACACTCAGAACTCCACCTTCAGGACTGCTTATCTGAGTTTCAATTTGGCAGCTATTCATCTGACTCGTAACCTCCACGCTGTCAATCTGAGTCTCCTCACTTCTGAATTGGTTTTCTTCCTCTGCTGAGATAATCTGAGCATCACGCACAGTACTAAGAATCTGATTTTCACTGTCAATCTTAGTCTCACTTTCCACACTTCTCTCCGGGATCTTAGTTTCCCTACATCTTATCTGACCTGTGCTTTTTACATTACTGACACCAACCACCACTACGGCCTCCTCACTGCTAACTTGTACTGTGTCATTGGCAATGCTTATCTCTTCTTCTTTCACAGTGCTGGCAGTCTGTCCTCCACAGTTAACACTGGTAACATCAACATCACTACTAGTGATCTGAGCAACTTCTGTGTCTTTAATCTGAGATGCATCTTCGCTAATCTGAGTTGTTGAGATAATCACGCTGATATTATCATGTGGTATGTCATTGACTCTACTGACAGTGGGGGATTTACCCTCAACGCTGCTCACAACGTGAGCTCCATGTTGTGCAGAGCTGGTGTTAGCTCTACTCTCAGAATATTCAACCCGATGCCCACTTTCTAAACTCTTGCTTTGGACCTAATTAGTTGTTTGTACACTCGGCCCTGTTTTTATAAAGAGGCATTATAAAGAAACACTTTCTGCAGACGAGTAACCTGCTCCCCAATGGCTACACCTACCACTTGTCCTCCATTTTCTAAACTGCTTGAGGTCTCTCTTGAGGTCTCATTAATACTTGGCACACTAATGGAGGAACTCTGAATTGGCATGACGATGTGTTGGAAGGCAGTTCCATTACTCATTGCGTTGGAGCTTGATTTCCTGCTGAAGACAAAAATATCAGTCAGACCTCGGACATGGATTTAGCTTCTGTCAAATCACCTGTTGACTCTTTTCTTGGGTAATCACTAGTGACAACCCTTTTCTTGGCCTTACCTGGCTCCCCCTCCATCCAGCAGCCTCCTGTACTCAGCGATCTCCATCTCCAGCCTGGTCTTGATGTCCAGGAGCATCTGGTACTGGACAGCCTGCTGCTCTGTGGCTGTACGTAGCTGCAGCAGCTCCTCCTCCAGGCTGTCTAAGTGCTGCTGAAGCTGACTGAGGTGAACACTGTGTCGCTCGTTCACTTCCATCTCGTCCCTCTCCGTTGACAGATTCTGTAAGCGAGCGAGTGAAGTGAAAGAGCAGCCATTTTAAAACCTGTAAATCTCTGATTCTGTCTCCAGAGTTTCAGTGCAACAACAAAGACTGCAAACTTCATAGCGTAAAAAAAAAATATGTGTATGTGGTTTCTTACCTGGGTCTCCATTAGCTTCAACTCCAAAGTTAGATCCTGGACTATTCTCTTTAGGTCGGCTATCTATGTCTGCCTGACCTAGGACCCATCAGAACAGGCGGTCACCTGGGTCTTCATGCTGTCCACCTGAGGTGTCAAAACAAACATGGAGAATATATGATATATTCTGTATCTCTAACATCTTCAGGACTCAGTATTTATGTGTTGACAGTGGCCCACCTTGCTCTGAAACCAGCTCTCAGCCTCTGTTTTGTTCTTCAGGATCATCGCCCCACACTGCTCCCTTAGGAGATTCAGTTCCTCATTCAGGTCCACTGAGTGAGCACAGTCCATATCCATGTTAACCAACCCAGACATCTGGGCTATCACTCCCTGCACTTCCTATACAGACACAGGAAATACAAATGTGGATGTCATTGTTGTGTCCAAAAGCTCTCAAACAACATTGACAATAGAAAATCAATGCAAACAGTATGTGCCATAATGGTACTAGACCTATGGAACCATACGATACATAAAATGTCATTGAAACAGTAACAGTATAAGGACCCCAACTTGTCATGGTTTCTCTTGAGGAGGTCCATTTCCTCTAGGTTTCCATCCAGTTGGATGTGCAGATCTCCTTCCCTATAGATTAACTCAGGGGCGGTGTGTTCAATAGGGCGATATGGGCGACGCACTGCCAAACGGGAAAAGGAAGGGATTTTTTTTCTAATCAATTATATCACGGCAACAGTAGTTATCAGTGTTGTAATCTAGACGTCTGATCTGCCACAGTGCCACTAAATGTCCAATCAGGCTAAAGTCGTGCTTCAAATGCCCCCCCCCCCCCCTTTTGGGGCGATTTCAGTCAGGTTGAAAATCGCCCAGAAGTCTGTCATAGACTCCCATGTAAAATCTATTTTTTTCAAATATCAGAGCTTTCAATACAATCTCTATGGGTTTCTGAGGGCTTGCACTTACGCGCTTTCGTCATACGTAACATATAACCATGAACGTAACTAAGAAAAGAGCGGGTAGCAGCGTCAATCAATTCACTACTTCTATCAAAATGGCTAGGCTTCAGTGCAACTCGATTGTGTCTTTGAAAGAAGTTCCTTTTTGTCGGCGAACAAATGAAGATAAATTGGCAACGAAACAATTAGGACCTCCCAGACCAAATTTAATAATTCAACAGGTTTCTACTAAAGGGGGGAAGTCCTACACCCGAGGATTTTCCAAAAATTGGTACGAACGAAAAACCTGGCTAGCAGGCTGCGATGTAGCTAATGCAGTCTTCTGCTACCCCCTGCTTACTCTTTCACCCTGAAGGCGGCACGGCAGACAGCACCGCTTGGACAGCGACTGGTGTGTAACGGACATGCACCATCTTTCAGGAAAGATTAAGAAACATGAGCTGTCAAAGACCCACATGGATAGCTGTTTGAGATTGTCTGCTTTGGGGAGAGTGAACATTCCCACTCAACTGGATGAGGGATACAGGTTAGCTGTCCGCCGCCACAACGATGAGGTTAGTGTTGATAATCACAAGTTTACTGGAGAACTGAAACTGACAAGGCTGACAAGATAGGACCCTTTTGTCCATTGTTATTGGATAGGAACAGAACTTATAACCAGCTCCTGACCTAAATAGATCTTAGCACAACATTTTACTCAACATATCATATTCCATATTCACTATAACAAATATATTTACTACGACATTAGCAAGAACCGCCACATCCTCAGCCGGCTAATCCAGTGTGTAAAGTTTTGCGGAGTGTTTGAGTTAGCTTTGCGAGGCAAAGATGAAACTGAGGGCTCCACCAACCCTGGTAAGCCAACACTTTTGAGATCAGTCAATAAATGCTTCTGGTATTGACTTATATGCTGCCCCTGTCTTCATGTTGTTGCTGGACATATCTTTTTTAAAATGTGTGTAGGTCACCTAAATCATCAGAAAAATTGCCCCCCCTGAGAATTTTTTTAGGAGCCGCCACTGGATTAACTCATGCTGAATACTCTGCAGGTGGCTCGGCTCAGCTCTGCCTCCGCTGCCAGGAGACACCTCTCCTCCTGCTCACACCTATACCAGACTGCAGATTAACTATAGAGTGTGTGTGTGTGAATTGCATTCTTGTCCATAGACGTGTGACCTTTAAAAGATCACATGAGTAAGGAAAATAATGCAATTTACTTGTGACCAAAATTCAGGCCCTTGTTTGCGGAATCCTTCATGGTGGACCCACAAGACACAGTGGATCCACACACATACACATATACTATAAACAAACTAACTTGGATTTAGAGTCATAGACTTCCAGTTGAGCATTGACGACCTGCAGGCTGAGTTGGGCATGGGTTGTGTACCAGTCAGAAATCTATGGGAGAAACACAGATAGGCAGAAGATAATACCTTTCATTAACTTGTTTACTATCAATCTTCGTCATTACAAATCAGTGATGATGCAGTTCAGCTGTTCCAATTAAATGAGTAATCTGACATTTTAATTTAAGAGCACATGCACTCAAGTCAAAACACGTCTGACATATAAGGACTTTGCCAAGAACTTTGTCTTTTTAATTGTTTTTCCCCATGAGATTTTGTCTGTATCCCACAACTCTGTTACAACTTTCTTCCCACTGGGCACACACTGGTTGAATCAACATTGTTTCCACGTCATTAGATTATTCAAATATGTAATACAAATGTATTTTTGTTTAGTTTTATAGCATTACTAAATGTTCCAGGGAAAATGTTGCTAGCATTTTGGCATGTTTTTCTAGATTTAGAAGATTAATAGATAGATAAAATAACATTTATAAAGCAAACATTATCCCTGCATTGATTACAAAAAAATATCAGAATATTGACCCAAAAAAAGGTGGTTAGCCATCAGTGAAGGAGTTGACAAGCCACTGACGGAGTTGACAACAGATACAAAAAACAGACTTATTTTTGCCTCTAAAAATAAAAGTTCAATACAAACATTTGTAAAATATGGAAAACGATTCATTTGAAAATCCCCAATAAAAACATAACTATTCTATCAAATCGTTCAGCACTCTGATGGAGTTGACGTTAGACAAAAATCTGACGGAGTTTATGTTTTACGGAGTTGACAAAAATTGAATTTTTTTTCTTTATTCAAGTGGTATACACAGTAGCAATTAGGTTTTTCCTCAGTTGCTTCATGACTCTAAAACCTAATTAAATGTAACATATTTGAACCAAAATTCATATTCCATTTTAATCTATAAGGAAGATGATTATGGTTGTGACCATGGTGATTCCAATATTGTTTGTTTAAATCTATCAAAAGTAGAGAACTTTACAGACCATGAGTGGTCTTGTTGCAGTGCATGTAATGAGGACATGAATAAGGGGTCCTTATGGTATAGCTGACCCTGCTCATTCCTGATTAATTTAGGATTTTAGACTAATCTGACGGAGTAAACAAAATCTCCAGACACATCTTTTAGGAATCTAAGTTTTGAGAGAAATATTATATAAAGTCACAGAGGGCTATTGCAAGAAACTATACTGAACCAAAATATAATGAGCTGTTTAATTAGCATTTCTCTATGCCAAGATAATCCATTCACCTGACAGGTGTGGCATATCAAGAAGCTGATTAAACAGCATGATCATTACACAGGTGTACCTTGTGCTGGGGACAACAAAAGGCCACTCTAAAATGTGCAGTTTTGTCATACAACACAATGCCACAGATGTCTCATGTTTTGATGGAGCGTGCAATTGGCATGCTGACTGCAGGAATATCCACCAGAGCGGTAGTCAGAGAATCAAATGTTAATTTCTCTACCATAAGCCGCCTCCAACGTACATTTTAGAGAATTTGGCAGTACGTCCAACCGGCCTAACAACCGCAGACCATGTGTAACCACGTCAGCCCAGGGCCTCCACATTCGGATTCTTCACCTGTGGGATGGTCTGAGACCAGCCACCTGGACAGCTGATGAAACTGTGGGTTTGCACAACCGAAGAAGTTCTGCACAAACTGTCAGAAACCGTCTCAGGGAAGATCATCTGCGTGCTCGTCGTCCTCACCAGGGTCTTGACCTGACTGCAGTTCGGCGTCGTAACCGACTTAAGCAGGCAAATGCTCAGCTTTGATGGCCACTGGTACGCTGGAGAAGTGTGCTCTTTACGGATTAATCCCGGTTTCAACTGTACCGGGCAGATGGCAGACAGCGTGTATGGCGTTGTGTGCGCGAGCGGTTTGCTGATGTCAACATTATAAACAGAGTGCCCCATGGTGGCGGTGGGGTTATGGTATGGGAAGGCATAAGCTACGGACAACGAACACAATTGCCTTTTATCGATGGCAATTTGAATGCACAGAGATACCATTATGAGATCCTGAGGCCCATTGTCATGCCATTCATCCGCTGCCATCACCTCATGTTTCAGCATGATAATGCACAGCTCCATGTCGCAAGGGTCTGTACACAATTCCTGGATGCTGAAAATGTCCCAGTTCTTCCATGGCCTGCATACTCACCAGACATGTCACCCATTGAGCATGTTTGGGATGCTCTGGATCGATGTGTACGACAGCGTGTTCCAGTTCCCGACAACTTTCCACAGGCCACAATCAACAGCCTGATCAACTCTATCCGAAGGAGATGTGTAGCGTAGCATGAGGAAAATGGTGGTCACACCAGATACTGACTGGATTCAGAGGCATGGATCAATCTTTTTTTTTAAGGCATCTGTGACCAACAGATGCATATCTGTATTCCCAGTCATGTAAAATCCATATATTAGGGCCTAATGAATTTACTTAAATTGACTGATTTCCTTATATAAACTGTAACTCAGTAAAATCTTTGAAATTGTTGCATGTTGCATCAATATTTTTGTTCAGTGTACATACCATAATTTTGTCAGTTAATATAAATTTTTGCCAATTTTAAACACTTTTTTTGGAGAGTTTGAAATTGGGATCCTTCGCATTTCCAGGCAAAGAGCCGACATGAAAATTAATAATATTTGAAAATTCCCCAAACAAATATTTTCCCTTATAAAATTCACATAATGTACATTTTAAGCTTAAATAATGCAACAAAATTAATTCATTTAAACTATCAAAAAATTATGTTTCCTTGCAGGACAAGGATTGTCCCGACTTTCATCGATATGAGTCAGAAATATTAATCCTACTGTCAAAATTGACTACAAAGTGTCAATCGGATAATTTTGGTCATAAAGTCAGTCTCGTCCAAAATGGAGTTTTTTGAGATTTGTGGTTGTGATTGCATCACAATGGAAATGAAGGTTGGGTTTGTTTCAATCCTGCCCACATCCCCACAGCACACAAGTAATCATCAATTTGGAGTGCAGCTACACGCAACCCAATCGTAATGCCCATGATAAATTTGGGTCAACTTTGGATATCCCTATGGGGCTAGCTAGGGACCATCGGTAAATTACACAATGTACATGGGAGAATATGTTAAATTCTAACTGCTCCAAATTTCAAGATTTAAAAACCTCGAACCGCACACCAGCCAGCTGAAGCCAGTTAAAACTAATTGGCGAAATAATTTGTCTAACTCTGCAAACACACACAAGAGACACCCACATAAAACCACACTCCGAAACCAACTCACGTTTGAATTCAGTCATGGCCATTCATTTAAACTATCAAAAAATTATGTTTCCTTGCAGGACAAGGATTGTCCCGACTTTCAATCATTTTTTATATTTTGGGGGGAGTGGGGGGCCCCCAAAGCTCGTGGGCAACCCTGTTTTTCTGGGGGGAGGGGGGGGGGGGGGGGGGTGCTACGCCAGTGCCTGTTATGTCTGACAAAAACAATTCTAGCTATCAACCGCACATAATCTTTAAGGTCAAAAGATCACTTTCAGTTTTTCTTCCATGAGTAATTTACACTGCCACAGAAAGATTAATGACTTGTTTATTCGGTGGGAAAATGTTCTCAGACCAGCTTGACATTATTTATAAGTGAAGATATGAAAAGTGACAATGACGATAAAAGCCACTGGCTCGGTGGATGCCATTCTGTCTCTACACCAGTTTTTCCCAAGTGGTGCGTCAGGACTTGGGACCAATTGATGGGTTGAGGACAGTTCCTAATGGGTTACGGACCCCAACAAAAGAGTGAGTAGAAGTGAGGGGGAGGTCACAAGACACAAACAACAGTAGCCTACTGCAAGACCATTGAGTGCCAATGGGTGTGTTGTTTACAGCAAGAAAGCCACTCATGACACTTTTCTCCTTTGGTGGCACTACACCAAACCAATGTTGGTGTCAATGATGTACAACAACAGTAATCTCTTAATTATCCTTTTGTGTCACTGTCAAAAGATGACCTTTAAAGAGCAACTGCCGTTAAATGACTTATCATTAAGAAAACAGCCTATATGGCATCGATATGAGTCAGAAATATTAATCCTACTGTCAAAATTGACTACAAAGTGTCAATCGGATAATTTTGGTCATAAAGTCAGTCTCGTCCAAAATGGAGTTTTGTGAGATTTGTGGTTGTGATTGCATCACAATGGAAATGAAGGTTGGGTTTGTTTCAATCCTGCCCACATCCCCACAGCACACAAGTAATCATCAATTTGGAGTGCAGCTACACGCAACCCAATCGTAATGCCCATGATAAATTTGGGTCAACTTTGGATATCCCTATGGGGCTAGCTAGGGACCATCGGTAAATTACACAATGTACATGGGAGAATATGTTAAATTCTAACTGCTCCAAATTTCAAGATTTAAAAACCTCGAACCGCACACCAGCCAGCTGAAGCCAGTTAAAACTAATTGGCGAAATAATTTGTCTAACTCTGCAAACACACACAAGAGACACCCACATAAAACCACACTCCGAAACCAACTCACGTTTGAATTCAGTCATGGCCATTCATTTAAACTATCAAAAAATTATGTTTCCTTGCAGGACAAGGATTGTCCCGACTTTCAATCATTTTTTATATTTTTGGGGGAGTGGGGGGCCCCCAAAGCTCGTGGGCAACCCTGTTTTTCTGGGGGGAGGGGGGGGGGGGGGGGGGGGGGTGCTACGCCAGTGCCTGTTATGTCTGACAAAAACAATTCTAGCTATCAACCGCACATAATCTTTTAGGTCAAAAGATCACTTTCAGTTTTTCTTCCATGAGTAATTTACACTGCCACAGAAAGATTAATGACTTGTTTATTCGGTGGGAAAATGTTCTCAGACCAGCTTGACATTATTTATAAGTGAAGATATGAAAAGTGACAATGACGATAAAAGCCACTGGCTCGGTGGATGCCATTCTGTCTCTACACCAGTTTTTCCCAAGTGGTGCGTCAGGACTTGGGACCAATTGATGGGTTGAGGACAGTTCCTAATGGGTTACGGACCCCAACAAAAGAGTGCGTAGAAGTGAGGGGGAGGTCACAAGACACAAACAACAGTAGCCTACTGCAAGACCATTGAGTGCCAATGGGTGTGTTGTTTACAGCAAGAAAGCCACTCATGACACTTTTCTCCTTTGGTGGCACTACACCAAACCAATGTTGGTGTCAATGATGTACAACAACAGTAATCTCTTAATTATCCTTTTGTGTCACTGTCAAAAGATGACCTTTAAAGAGCAACTGCCCTTAAATGACTTATCATTAAGAAAACAGCCTATATGGCATCGATATAGGCTGTTAGCATTTCTTAATTAACCAAATCTAAAATGAGGCCAAATCAGGTAAACAGAAGGACCTGTTGTTTGGAAAGGTCAAAATAACATTAAGAGGAGTTGTGCCTTCATGGGGCTGGTCTAGCGGCCAGATAGTGTCACCTGCAGGACATACAGTGTCTTGCGAAAGCATTCACCCCCCTTGACATTTTTCCTATTTTGTTGCCTTACAACCTGGAATTTAAATGGATTTTTTGGGGGGTTCGTATCATTTGATTTACACAACATGCCTACCACTTTGAAGATGCAAAATATTTTTATTTGTGAAACAAACAAGAAATATGACAAAAAAACAGAAAACTTGAGCATGCATAACTATTTACCCCCCCAAAGTCAATACTTTGTAGAGCCACCTTTCAAAGCAATTACAGCTACAAGTCTCTTTGGGTTAATGTCTCTATAAGCTTGGCACATCTAGCCACTGGCTTTTTTTTGGCCACTCTTCCGTAAAGCCCAGCTCTGTGGAGTGTATGGCTGAAAGTGGTCCTATGGACAGATACTCCCTTGCTTAGTGGTGTTGCAGACTCTGCGGCCTTTCAGAACAGGTGTATATATACTGAGAACATGTGACACATCATGTGACACTTAAATAAAGTCCACCTGTGTGAAATCTAACTAATTATGTGACTTCTGAAGGTAATTGGTTGCACCAGATCTTATTTAGGGGCTTCATAGCAAAGGGGGTGAATACATATGCACACACCACTTTTCAGTTATTTTTTTCATTTCACTTCACCAATTTGGACTATTTTGTGTATGTCCATTACATGAAATCCAAATAAAAATCAATTTAAATTACAGGTTGTAATGCAACAAAATAGGAAAAACGCCAAGAGGGATGAATACTTTTGTAAGGCACTGTACAAGATACAGTTGAAGTCGGGAGTTTACATACACCTTAGCCAAATACATTAAAACTCAGTTTTTCACAATTCCTGACATTTAATCCTAGAAATAATTCCCTGTCTTAGGTCAGTTAGGATCACCATTTTATTTTAAGAATGTGAAATGTCAGAATAATAGTAGAGAAAATGATTTATTTCAGCTTTTATTTATTTCATCACATTCCCAGTGGGTCAGAAGTTTACATACATTCAATTAGGCCACTCCAATACCTTGACTTTGTTGTCCTTAAGCCATTTTTGCCACAACTTTGGAAGTATGCTTGGGGTCATTGTCCATTTGGAAGACCCATTTGCGACCAAGCTTTAACTTCCTGACATCTTGAGATGTTGCTTCAATATATCCACATAATTTTCCTTCCTCATGATGCCATCTATTTTGTGAAGTGCACCAGTCCCTCCTGCAGCAAAGCACCCCCACAGCATGATGCTACCACCCTCGTGCTTCACGGTTGGGATGGTGTTCTTAGGCTTGCAAGTGCCCCCTTTTTCCTCCAAACATAACGATGGTCATTATGGCCGAACAGTTCTATTTTTGTTTCATCAGACCAGAGGACATTTCTCCAAAAAGTACGATCTTTGTCCCCATGTGCAGTTGCAAACCGTAGTCTGGCTTTTTTAAGGCGGTTTTGGAGCAGTGGCTTCTCCTTGCTGAGCGGCCTTTCAGGTTATGATGAGTTTTCTCTGGTATCGAGTACTTCAGGATGTAAGAGAATTGTTAAACACTTAGATGGAGAGTTGATTCATAGTTATTTAATATTACAGTACTGGATTCGCATGACAAGCGGTACGGGAGTAGCCTATTGTCATCCGAATGATTTACATAGAAAACCTCTCAGTTTATATAATGCTTTCCGAGCTAATTCCATCCAACAGTTGCCAAACATTATTGAGTGTCACTCATCACCTACAATAGGATCCCCCTACATGGTATCGTGTTGCACCCTAGCCAGGATATTCCATCACGTACTCCTTATAAGATTAGCAAAAGTGGCCCCCAAGCTATCTTGGCACGCAGACCTTCTGGCACCCACCAGTGACAGAAATAATTACATGGCATATCCTCATCCTCTCACTTCCATACCGCAAATACTGTATAAAAAGACGTTATATCAGTCGATATAGAACTCGTTTTACTGTGGATATAGATACTTTTGTACCTGTTTCCTCCAGCATCTTCACAATGTCCTTTGCCGTTGTTCTGGGATTGATTTGGACTTTTCACACCAAAGTACGTTCATCTCTATTAGACAGAACGCATCTCCTTCCTGAGCGGTATGATGGCTGCCTGGTTCCATGGTGTTTATACTTGCGTACTATTGTTTGTACAGATGAACGTGGTACCTTCAGGCATTTGGAAATTGCTCCCAAGGATGAACCAGACTTGTGGAGGTCTACAATTTTTTTTCTGAGGTCTTGGCTGATTTCTTTTGATTTTCCCATGATGTCAAGCAAAGATGCACTGAGTTTGAAGGTAGGCCTTGAAATACATCCACAGGTACACCTCCAATTGACTCAAATGATGTCAATTAGCCTATCAGAAGCTTCTAAAGCCATGACATCATTTTCTGGAATTTTCCAAGCTGTTTAAAGGCACAGTCAACTTTGTGTATGTAAACTTCTGACCCACTGGAATTGTGATACAGTGAATTATAAGTGAATAGAAAACAATTGTTGCAAAAATTACTTGTGTCATGCACAAAGTAGATGTCCTAACCGACTTGCCAAAACTATTGTTTGTTAACAAGAAATTTGTGGAGTGGTTGAAAAACGAGTTTTAATGACTCCAACCTAAGTGTATGTAAACTTCCGACTTCAACTGTAGATACTACGCCAAACAGTACCTTTCCTGTAACTCCCAGTAAAGGATACCACAAATCTTTGGTTAAATCACATTATCTGGTGTAACAATCTGTACCTAAATTGGAGTAGGACGCAAATTACTCTGCCTCTGTCCTTAGCCTAGTTGTTGTAACATGTCAGGATGTTCATTTCTAGCATAAACTACCCACTGGGCACACCACGTCATTTCAACGTGGATAATTGGGTAATATTTGGTTGAGACGTTGATCAATGGGATTACAACCTATATTCACCCACTCGAAAAGACAGACAAAAGTTAGTTGAATTTATTTGATATTGAGATACAAATGGCAGCATTGGACCTTTAAGAGGAGTGTGAATTTCCAATACGTTATCACTATGCTTCAACAATCTAAAAGCACAACCAAATTCCAATGGAAAAACAATGTCTGATTTTTGGTTTAGTTGTCACCCAAATGTCTATCACTGTGCTTTCAACCATTTAAAAGCACAGCAAAGTTCAAATGGGAATACAATGTCAGATATTTTGTTTATTTATACAACACAATGTGTCATCACTGTGCTTCAACTCACAGCAGAACCAAATACCTTGGATTACATTAAAAGTACATGTTGCAAATGATTAATGCCGTTCTAGATTTGGCACAGATTATTACAGCAATTGTGGAGATCTCCACAGACCTGAGACAACCTATGCATGCTATCTTGAACATGCACGCTTTATATGATTACATATTAATTAGGTTGGATGTTACATTAGTTTGTAAGATAGCCTTAACTTTAGGCTATTTACTGTATTACAAAAGTGATATTGAATTGTGTTTGGTTGTCAACGCAATCAAATATTAACATTTGAAGATTTATCTTCTTTTTGGATAGCTCCGTCTGTGCCACTGACTTAGTCTACAAATTAATAATTTATATGTTGGATTCATGTCTCCATCTCAACCAAAACTCCAAGTTAAAGAATAGGCCTAAATCAAATCAAACTTTATTTGAAGTGCATTTAAAGTTTTCATTTGATTTAACTTTGATTTTTTATTGAGATGGAGACGTGAATCCAACGTATCAATTATTAATTTGTAGACAAACTGGAATTAAAGCCAGACTAAGTCAGTGGCACAGATGGAACTATCCAAGCAGAAGGTACATCTCCTTCAAATGTTGATATTTGGTTGCGTTGACAACCAAACACAATGCATTATAGGTAAGCAATGCATGCTCTAGAGTGCCCTTCAAGCCAATCAGAAACGAATATTAAACAATGCATTGGTATAACACTAAATATCATTACATTTGAAATCAACCAGAGCTTGAAACACTAGGCCAATTGTTTTGTCTATTTTTAGTTGACTTCTGGGTTGAAATGAAACAATAGCTGTTGATGACTTTGTAAATGCGATGTAGGCCTAAATAGCTTCATTGATGATGAGTGATAAAGTATGGTCACATTTCATTTGCTCTGTGAAACCTACCCTTTGGAATGACTTCTATAGCAACAGTGAATGTATCTCTCTCTGCATTGGTTGGCTACATTGGTGACCAGGATGGGATCCTTTCAATACACACCTATGGGGCCTGGGCATACACATGCTCCTAGAGAGAGGGGGGAATACTGAAGCATGTCTTGATAAGTTCTACTGTTTCAATCAGAATCTCAGGCTTTTGGCACTTCTCTCTCTATATACATTGATTGGTAGGTTACACTATATTTAGATATTTTAAATACTGCCTGAGACACCTTTGCTATTTTGCACATTATGGACAATATGGCTAACACTCAGTCATAGTTAGTAGTAGAATAATGGATTGGCAAGAATTTGGCGCCATCAACTTTTAGGTTAGTAGGAAAGTTAGGCTAATAATTTAAACCCACTAAATATATTCACATTCACTGAACATTTAGTATTTGAAACTCAAACATTCATTTCCCAACTGCTTTTTCTATAATCCTGCAGACTCCATATAATTTTCCATACCTTAAATTATAATGCATCCAACATTATGAATGCCCACCATGGTATTGGGCAGCTGCTGACATTTGAGAACTCATCTGCTTTAGAAATCAAACTCTAGTCATCACAATTTAAGCTATACATTTTGCCCAGCTGTTTTTAGAGAAGAGTGTATTGCACGGTATGCTATATGTGTAGGATATGCTGTGTTGGCTAATATGCATATGCAGTAGAGGTCTTCACGGATCCACCTGTACCCGAATACCCGAGACCCGATCCAGGACACGAGTGGGTATGGATCCAGAATTCTAAATAATATCACGGGTCTGGGTCAGATCTGACATGATTGTCACGGGTTTCAGGTATGTGTAATTTTAACTGACTTGTCCGGAAGGGCCTGTACAGATCCGAACATGACTGCTGCAGTAGAGAGAGAAATGTTATAATTTATGCTGCTGCTCTTGCTTTTCACAAGAGGAGTGTGGCGCATGTAGCTTGTTGTTGTTGTTGTTGTTGGCCAATCATGAGTCATCAAAGTGGCAATAGGCTACAGTCATAGAGTCTTCATGTGTGGCAAAAGTTAGGAGATATCTAATCAATGGAAGATGGAATTAAAATAATGGAATTAAAAGTTAAAGGAGAAGGATAGGCTACATCGACCAAGAGCCAACAGGTAGGCTGCTCCTTAATATTCTGAATTGAGTTGTTGTAGTTATTTATAACTGTAGGATGAGCAAGCGCATGCACTGCAGCCTCAATTAGCCTAGCTAGCTAACTTAACTAGCTTCTCCCGGTTTGATGCAGTCAAGACAGGTACTACTTAATCATATTTGATGATAAATAACCTAGCTATGGCTGCTATTAGTCTACTATATCGTGAGTCGGCTAGGTTGTTTGCTGCCTCTCATCTCTCCCTCCCTGCTCCCTGTCTCACTCGCTGATAGTATTGCCCCTCATAGCCCCTCGCCCACCTGCTAGAGAGGCACCTCTCTCTCCCTCCTATCGCGCTTTATCAGTTCCGGTTAATAAAGTAGCTTAAAAAATGCCTTTTCTGATGCTTCCATCACTTGGATCGGTCCGGTTCTGGATTCAACCAGGTCTATATGGAACGGGTCTAGTTGTCCTCGGGTCCGTTTGGAACGGGTCTCTATATTTAAAAAATGTATTTATGCATATCGGGTCCGGGTGGGAAAGCCTCAGGTCCATTTCGGAACTTGGATCCGTGAAGACCTCTAATATGCAGCTGTCGTTTTTAAACCTCCATTCTAGCAAACATGACACACAGTTGGCGACGGGCGTCAAGTGTAAAAAGAGGGATACGCACTCCAGTAGTTCAGAGATGGAACCTGACGTAAGTGAGGATGAAGTACCTGCGGTGAGGATCGCCGCGTTGGTTGGAGAGCGTGGTGAAACGGAGAACATATTGTCTGTCCTGCTGAGTTTTGATGCAGAGTCTTTTTTTGCATACCGCCCCAACAGCGAGCTAGGACGGACATACTGTAGTCAAAAGTCAGCACTTTTGAAAAGTACAGCGACAGTATCCAGAACATGGGCCGTTCTTACAGTATTCTCCCTGTACAAGTCAGAACCGTAGGATAAATAAAGGGGGCATGTAAGCAGACAATGAAAGCTCTTACAATATTCAATGTTGACATTCCCCTAAAACAGGCTATAGGCTACATGTGCACCATCAAGTCAGAACAGTAGGCTCAGTTATGAGGGAGGAAACTGACCAAATTATTAGGGTGAGGCACATGGGCTACTAATGGCTTACTACACAACATACATTTAGTATTACTTTCTTAGCCACAGTATACATATCTCCCTGGCATATTACATCATTTACGCAGCAGCATACAATACGTTTTTGGACTCACCTTGTTGTGCAGAACAGATAGGTGGCGCGGTGGACCTTCTTGTGGGCTCTAGAAAGAGGCCCAAAATCCTGACATGGAATTCCGAGTTGGATGACCGTAAAAAAAATATTTGTCTTGAACTCACTGAAGTTTGAGATTTCCCAGTTCCGAGTTTCCAGCTGTTTTGAACGCGGCAGAAGTCATGCTGGATTGACAGCATGGCCAATGTATTCAAACATTTCTGTCTCATGGCATTACCCCCTTTTCGTGATATCCAATTGGTAGTTACGATCTTGTCTGATCGCTGCAACTCCCCTACGGACTCGGCGAAGGTTGAGAGCCAAGCCGCACTGCTTCTTGACACACTGCTCGCTTAACCCGGAAGCCAGCCGCAACAATGTGTCAGAGGAAACACTGTCGAACTGACACCAGTCAGCTTGCAGGATCCCGGCCCGCCACAAGGAGTCGCTAGAGCACGATGAGACAAGGACATCCCGGCCGGCCAAACCCTCCCCTAACTCGGATGACGCTGGGCCAATTGTGCACCGCCTCATGGGTCTCCCGGTCACAGCCAGCTGTAACACAGCCTGGGATCCAACCCGGGGCTGCAGTGGCGCCTTAGTACTCATTGTTGAATTTGCGATTTCAAACTTGTTGTGTAACGTTTATGTCCAATGGCTGATGAGCACCGATACGTTTTATCTATAATTTCTCTTCATATGACAAGGATTGAAAATGATTTGCCAGTAGATTGCCGACTTGATGCATAATTATGACTGCTTTTCTAGCTTGCTAGCTAAGATTTTGAAAGTGTGATGTTGACATGATCAGTCCAATCAAAGCTACTGTAGATATAACGTGATTTGACGTCATTTTATCTGTGGCCAATGACCTTGAGCCTTCTTGGATGGGCACTTCTAATGTAAATATATGGCAGCAGCCAATGGGCTTGAATTTTTCGAGCCCTACCTGTAGATTTTGCAGTGACGTTGTGTCCTCATGAGTGACAGAACACTGAGCCAATCACAGCGCAACTAAAGAACATTACCAACCCCTACGTATTTCCTCTGGCTGCCCCACCACCACAGAAAGCAGTGAGCTATGCTGAAACACCTGCATTTTGGAGCTGCCTTACTCAAGAAAGCAAAAAAGAGACCAAGTTTGAAATGCGGCTTTATTATTATTTTTACATTGTTTGCAAACTGATATGTGACACGTATTAATGCCAAAATAATAACATGCAAAACAGGGAAAATAAAATAAAATGCTGTGTCGCCACTGCACTTTCCATTATTTAATCTATCAATAACATTGCTGTATTAGCTAAGGTCTTCTTCAAGGTTTTATGGCAGACTACCCACCTGCTGTACTGCAGCCTAGGCTGGTGTGGATATTTTCCCCTTAGAAATACCAAAATAATTATGTAATTCTTCCAGAAAAATAGGGTGTGGCGTGGCGCACGTCCCTACGTGCGTCGTCCAAAACGTCGCTGATCCTGGTTTTGGGGAGGTACTGGAAAGGGTTGTTTACCTCTTTGGAAGCTGTACGATGTCCATTTTGTGAAACCCGGTCATTCGAATAGAGCTTCGTCCCCGGAAAATAAGATTAAAAGAAAATAAATATTAAGCATACCAGTCGAACGCTAACCAGTTATTACCCGAAAGGAAAGGAAATCTTATCATATGTCCGCTATCCAGAACCTCCAAACTTTCGGTAAGACATTTCAACCATCTCAGCTAACGACGTGTGAATGTAAGTGGGGGAATGGCGGTTGGTAACGTTACAACAAAATATTACGTTTGGTTTTAATAATAAATTGTTAATAAATGTCTAAAACATCTGGTTAGTTATATCGAGAACATTCCCTCCCGATTACAAATAAGTTAATAGCATGCCAGGTTTTTTTTGTAGTTAACGTTGACCAGCAAGACCGGCAACACCTATCAGACTTCAACCAGGCCGAAGTTAATTTCCTTGGCTAACGTTAGGTCACAACACGGATTTGTAGCCGATATAGAAAACTAGTCTGTATTATGGACACAATAATCAATGTACATTACCGATTCCGGTTAACAAGTGGTTACTGCCGGTTGTCTTTCTGTCCAATTTCCATGTAGTAATTTGCTGACAAGCATCTGAGGAGCGTTTTGCTTAGGCCTGATTTGCTGACTAGGCCTAGGCCTGATTTGCTGACTAGGCGTCCGCCAAAATATAATATAATAATATGCCATTTAGCAGACGCTTTTATCCAAAGCGACTTACAGTTATGCGTGCATACATTTTTGTGTATGGGTGGTCCCGGGGATCGAACCCACTACCTTGGCGTTACAAGCACCGTGCTCTACCAGCTGAGCTACAGAGGACCACATGTAACTACACATAACTGTCCCCAAGTTAATCAAATCACATTTTATTTGTCACATGCGCTGAATACAACAGGTACAGTGAAATGCTTACTTACAAGCCCTTAACCAACAATGAGGTTTTAAGAAAGAATACCAAAAATAATACGAAATAAAAATAATATGAAATAAAAGTAACAAATAATTAAAGGACATAATATAGTTGGTTCAGAGTTCGTTTTGATATTTCAACCTGTGTGTCCTGATCGTGTCTGGTGTGGGAGGGAAAGATCAACATGCGCGCGATGACGCACGCGTGCTGTCTGGTCAGCATGTAAGACTCATGGATAGGACATTACATCACCAGTTCATCGGCCTGGATCTTTTGTTATCTAGGTCAAACAAAACAGTGCCATCTTAGCTATCGCTTTATGTTGCTTCCTTGTAATTTTGTTTTGAACTTTATTTGTGTCTTAAGTATTTGTTTTTAAATAGTATTGTTCTTCCCACAGACCCCTTTGCTGATGCAACTAAGGGTAATGACAGGCTCCCATCTGGGACTGACGACTACATCCACATAAGAATCCAGCAGCGTAACGGCAGGAAGACTCTGACCACGGTCCAGGGCATAGCCATCGACTATGATAAGAAGAAGCTAGTCAAGGCCTTTAAGAAGGTATGTTATGGCAGGGAGTTGAGACAAAGACACTAGCTGGTATACTAAGAAAGGTCCATGTTTTGTTCTACAGGCCTTTTGACTAGTTCTGCTTTGTCAACAGAAATTTGCCTGCAATGGGACAGTGATTGAGCACCCAGAGTATGGTGAAGTGATTCAGCTGCAAGGTGACCAGCGCAAGAATATCTGCACATTTCTAATTGAGGTAGGTTTGACTCCTGTCCCTGCTATAGCACATTGCACCCAGCATATACTCCACACTTGTGTGTACTAAGTGGTCATCTGTCATGGCCCCTACAGAAGGCTCCCATAGAAAAGCGCCTGTTTGTAAACAGTCCAGCTGCTATGGTAGTAAAGGTTTTGTGACTGGAGTGCAAAGTTCCTTTGTGTAATGTCTCTTCTCCCCTCATCCCACTTCCAGATTGGCCTGGCTAAAGAGGAGCAGCTCAAGGTCCACGGATTCTAGGAGCTCTCAGCAGCCTCCTCTTCCCTGGTCCTGATACTTTTGGCCATGTAGTGTATGTGGACACCCCTTCAAATTATTGGATTCGGCTATTTCGGCCACACTCGTTGCTGACAGGTGTATAAAATCGAGCACACACCATTCAATCTCCATAGACAAACACTGTCAGTAGAATGGTCCGTACTGAAGAGCTCAGTGACTTTCAACGTGGCACCGTCATAGGATGCCACCTTTCCAACAAGTCAGTTCGTCAAATTTCTGCCCTGCTGGAGCTTCCCCGGTCAACTGTAAGTGCTGTTATTGTGAAGTGGAAACGTCTAGGAGCAACAACGGCTCAGCCACGAAGTGGTAGGCCACACAAGCTCACAGAAGGGGACCGCCAAGTGCTGAAGCGCGTAGCGTGTAAAGATCGTCTGTCCTCGGTTGCAACACTCACTACTGAGTTCCAAACTGCGTCTGGAAGCAACGTCAGCACAATAACTGTTCGTCGGGAGCTTCATGAAATGGGTTTCCATGGCCGAGCAGCCGCACACACGCCTCAGATCACCATGCGCAATGCGAAGCGTCGGCTGGAATGGTGTAAAGCTCACCGCCATTGGACACTGGAGCAGTGGAAAGGTGTTCTCTGGAGTGATGAATCACGCTTCACCATCTGGCAGTCCGACGGACGAATCTGGGTTTGGCGGATGCCAGGAGAACGCTACCTGCCCGAATGCATAGTGCCAACTGTAAAGTTTGGTGGAGAAGGAATAATGGTCTGGGGCTGTTTTTCATGGTTCGGGCTAGGCCCCTTAGTTCCAGTGAAGGGAACTCTAAACGCTACAGCATACAATGACATTCTAGATGATTCTGTGCTTCCAACCTTGTGGCAACAGTTTGGGGAAGGCCCTTTCCTGTTTCAGCATGACAATGCCCCAGTGCACAAAGCGAGGTCCATACAGGAATGGTTTGTCGAGATCGGTGTGGAAGAACTTGACTGGCCTGCACAGAGCCCTGACCTCAACCCCATCGAACACCTTTGGGATGAATTGGAACGCCGACTGCGAGCCAGGCCCAACCGACCAACATCAGTGCCCGACCTCACGAATGCTCTTGTGGCTGAATGGAAGCAAGTCCCCGCAGCAATGTTCCAACATCTAGTGGAAAGCCTTCCCAGAAGAGTGGAGGCTGTCATAGCAGCAAAGGGGGGACCAACTCCATATTAATGCCCATGCTTTTGTAATGAGATGTTCGACAAGCAGGTGTCCACATACTTTTGGTCATGTACACAGAACAAAAATATAGATGCAACAATTTCAAAGCTTTTGCTACGTTAAAGTTCATATAAGTAAATTAGCCAATTGAAATGAATTAATTAAGCCCTAATCTATTGATTTCACATGACTGGGCAGGGCCGCAGCAATGGGTTGGTTCTGGGAGGGCATAGGCCTACCCACTTGGGAGCCAGGCCCAGCCAATCAGAATGAGTTTTTCCTAACAAAAGGGCTTTATTATTGACCGAACCTCCTCCTCACCCCCTCACTAACAGGGATGTAAACATATTTGTTGCCAAAATTTGAGAGAAATAAGCTTTTTCTGCGTTTGGAAAAATTCTGGGATATGTTATTCCAGCTCATGAAACATGGAACCAACACTTTACATTTTGTGTTTATATTTTTGTTCAGTATAGTTTATAAGGACTGTGCCAAGACCTTCGTCTTTTTAAATGTTTTTCCACATTAGATTTTGTCTGTATCCTACAACTCTGTTACACCTCCTTCCCACTGGGCACACACTGGTTGAATCAACGTTTCCACGTCATTTCAATGAAATTACGTTGAATAGACGTCTGTGCCCAGTGGGTTCCTTCCTTCACTTATCTGCTTTCCCGCCTTCCCACTACTGTTTGCTGAAAGGATGGGATAGAATTCCCATCCTTTGGTCCTCTGTAGCTCAATTGGTAGAGCATGACGCTTGTAACGCCAGGGTAGTGGGTTCGATCCCCGGGACCACCCATACGTAAAAATGTATGCGCACATGACTGTAAGTCGCTTTGGATAAAAGCGTCTGCTAAATGGCATATTATATTATTATTATATATTATATCAAGTCATTTCTAAATCAGTGGTCACCGGTCACAAAGGAACAAGAGCATGAGGCTGGTCACAAGATGATGCTTAAGAGGAAAATGAGAAGGTAAACTGCAAGGTGTTCAGTGATAGGTCCCAATATAGGCCTACCTGGTTTTGAAGGCTATCGATCATCTCCAAGTGTCCACCCATGTCTTTACGGTCACCAAGGGAGCTTCTCTCCAGATGTTCCTTGATCTGTAACTCAAGCTGTGCGTTGGCTGCCTCTAGTGAGTGCACCTGAGCCACACAGACACCCACAAATCAACATAGAGCCTCACACATTCATACAACACACATCCTAGGTAGGATTCTCACTGTTTTAGCCACTAAGAGAGAAATCACACCAGAGCAACTGAGTGTACTTGAAAGCAGCGGGTGGCTGTTCTATCGCATCTGACCAGAATATCAGCCGATTCTACACCTAATATACCCTAAAGAACTACCATTCACTTTCTCCTAACAGTGAAAAAAGAAAACCCTACATTTGTGAAGTGAAAAGGTATCTCATTTACCTTCTCAATGTAGGACGCAAAGCGACCATTAAGATCTTGCATGTTCTCGTTGACGCACAGGGAGCCTGAGAAGTTTGTTGCGCTCACCGGGTCACTTGATGCATAAAGTATTGAGATGCGGGTCCCATATCCTCCTGCACCACCGCAAACACTGTTCCAGCGTCCTCCTCTGTGGTCATGGGAGAGCTGCTTAGCGCCACTGTCACGCAACAACTGCTGTCAACATACTCCAACCTGCGGTCTGATGGGATGCTATGAAGGGCTTTTTTGAACTGAAAGTGTAGGTGTGATAAAACCCTGCCCACTACAAGATCTACCAAAAAACATTTGTGGGCATGTCTAGGGTGGAATTATCTTTTCTGTCTTTCAAATGTAAATTGGATGGTGCCGAAGGCACAATCGCTGTCAAAAAGGTCTGAGACAAATACCTTGTAAAACTGTTCTTCTTTCAGGATGTGGACCAATAAATCTTAATTTTTAAGTTGCCTACAGTGAAAAATACATTAACCGGTTAAGTCAAATTTAAATAACGCAACATCAAAAGTCACATTTTCAGTGGTAAATTGAATAAAACATTAGGCTCTTTATTCTTTATTATAAACTGGGTGGTTCGAGCCCTGAATTCTGATTGGCTGACAGCTGTGGTATAGCCGACTGTATACCAATTACGTTGGTAACCAGTTTGTAATAGCAATAAGGCACCTCAGGGGTTTGTGGTATATGGCCAATATACCACGGCTAAGGGCTGTGTCCAGGCACTCCGCTTTGCGTCGTCAATAAGAACAGCTCTTAGCCGTGGTATATTGGCCATATACCACACCTCCTGAGGCCTTATTGCTTATTTAAGTCACCAGAATAATATTCCTTTCCAAAATGTTGACACATTGCTTAAAGCTATTTTTTTTGTTGAAAGGTAATCATTTTCACCCAAAATGACAGGTACTTTTGACATGTTATGTCTGACAAAAACTGTTTTTGCTAAATTCTAGCTATCAACAGCATATCATCTTGGAATTCAATGAAGTTCAAAAGATCACTTTCAGCTTTTCTTCCATAATGAGAGTAATTTACACTGCCACAGAAAGATGAATGACTTGTTTATTGGGCGGGAACATTTTATCAGACTTATCAGACCAGCTTGACATTATTTATAAGTGAAGATATGAAAAGTGACAATGACAATAAAAGCCACTGGCTCGGTGGATGCCATTCTGTCTCTACACCAGTTTTTCCCAAGTGGTGCGTCAGGACTTGGGACCTATTGGTGGGTTGAGGACAGTTCCTTTCTTTTCTTGGTGGGGGTTAAAAGACACAAACAACTTTAGGAGGCACTACACGGATGAACAGTGGGCTAACTGTGTAGTGCCAATGGGTGTGTTGTTTACAGCAAGAAAGCCACTCATGACACATTTTTCTCCTTTGGTGGCACTACACCAAACCTATGTTGGTGTCAATGATGTACAACAACAGTAATCTCTTAATGATCCACTGTCATAAGATGACCTTTAAGGGAGAGGTTAGCAGTAAGGCCTGATTTCCTGTTGTTTTGAAAGGGCAAAATAACATTAAAGGCCCAGTGCAGTCAAATACATGATTTCCCTGTGTTTTATATATATTTCTACATTATGAGGTTGGAATAATACTGTGAAATTTGACAAATTTGGATAATGCCCTTTTAGCAAAAGAGCTGTTTGAAAAGGCTGCCTGAAATCTTGGTGGGATACAAAATTGTTACCCAGAAATTATTTGATATTGAGATACAAATGGCAGCATTGGACTTTTAAAATTTCCAATACGTTATCACTATGCTTCCAACAATCTAAAAGCACAACCAAATTCCAATGGAAAAACAGTGTCTGATTTTTGGTTTAGTTGTCACCCAAATGTCTATCACTGTGCTTTCAACCATTTAAAAGCACATCAAAGTTCAAATGGGAATACAATGTCAGATATTTTGTTTATTTATACAACACAATGTGTCATCACTGTGCTTCAACTCACAGCAGAACCAAATACCTTGGATTTCATTAAAAGTACATGTTGCAAATGATTAATGCCGTTCTAGATTTGGCACAGATTATTACAGCAATTGTGGAGATCTCCACAGACCTGAGACAACCTATGCATGCTATCTTGAACATGCACGCTTTATATGATTACATATTAATAAGACATTTATAGTTACAGTAACCTCAATGTGTCCATGGATGTGTTACTCATTTTAAGGTTGGATGTTACATTAGTTTGTAAGATAGCCTTAACTTTAGGCTATTTACTGTATTACAAAAGTGATATCGAATTGTGTTTGGTTGTCAACGCAATCAAATATTAACATTTGAAGATTTATCTTCTTTTTGGATAGCTCCGTCTGTGCCACTGACTTAGTCTACAAATTAATAATTTATATGTTGGATTCATGTCTCCATCTCAACCAAAAATCCAAGTTAAAGAATAGGCCTTAATCAAATCAAACTTTATTTGAAGTTCATTTAAAGTTTTCATTTGATTTTACTTTTATTTTTTATTGAGATGGAGACGTGAATCCAACGTATCAATTATTAATTTGTAGACAAACTGGAATTAAAGCCAGACTAAGTCAGTGGCACAGATGGAACTATCCAAGCAGAAGGTACATCTCCTTCAAATGTTGATATTTGGGTGCGTTGACAACCAAACACAATGCATTATAGGTAAGTAATGCATGCTCTAGAATGCCCTTCAAGCCAATCAGAAACGAGTATTAAACAATGCCTTGGTGTAACACAATATCATTTCATTTGAAATCAACCAGAGCTTGAAACCCTAGGCCAATTGTTTTGTCTATTTTTAGTTGACTTCTGGGTTGGAATGAAACAATAGCTGTTGATGACTTTGTAAATGCGATGGAGGCCTAAATAGCTTCATTGATGATGAGTGATAAAGTATGGTCACATTTCATTTGCTCTGTTAAACCTACCCTTTGGAATGACTTCCATAGCAACAGTGAATCTATTTCATTTTGAAGTGGAGATCTCTCAACAATCATTCTCACGATAGCTCATTGGTAAAAGTCAATGACAAACATCATAGGTGGGCTTGGTTTAACCCTGGATGGGAGTCTGAAGGGTAGCTGTAGACAGATACATTCTCCAGTAGGAGGTGCTGCCCAGCCTATTGTTTTTTTTCTTCTGATAGTGTATATAACGTTAAAGATCTGACATAGTTTTAAAAGTACAAATTCAACATATTTTATACAAGGTTTGTCTGTTGAAATTTGGTTACCATAATGACATAATCCTGTGGTTTAAATTATGGTTTGCAACTGCACATGGGGAGAAATATTGTACTTTTTGGAGAAATGTCCTCTGGTCTGATGAAACAAAAATATAACTGTTTGGTCATAGTGACCATCTTTATGTTTGGTGGAAAAAGGGGGTTGCTTGCAAGCCGAAATACACCATCCCAACCGTGAAGCACGGGGGTGGCAGCATCATGCTGTGGGGGTGCTTTGCTGCAGGAGGGACTGGTGCACTTCACAAAAAAGATGGCATCATGAGGAAGGAAAATTATGTGGATATATTGAAGAAACATCTCAAGACATCAGTCAGGAAGTTAAAGCTTGGTCGCAAATGGGTCTTCCAAATGGACAATGACCCCAAGCATACTTCCAACGTTGTGGCAAAATGGCTTAAAGACAACAAAGTCAAGGTATTGGAGTGGCAATCACAAAGCCCTGACCTCAATCCTATAGAAAATGTGTGGGCAGAACTGAAAAAGCGTGTGCGAGCAAGGAGGCCTACAAACCTGACTCAGTTACACCAGCTCTGTCAGGAGGAATGGGCCTAAATTCACCCAATATATTGTAGGAAACTTGTGGAAGGCTACCCGAAACGTTTGACCCAAGTTAAACAATTTAAAGGCAATACTACCGAATACTAATTGAGTGTATGCAAACTTCTGACCCACTGGGAATGTGATGAAAGAAATAAAAGCTGAAATAAATAATTCTCTCTACTATTATTCTGACATTTCACATTCTTAAAATAAAGTGGGGATCCTAACTGACCTAATACGGAATTTTTACTAGGATTAAATGTCAGGAATTGTGAAAAAACTGAGTTTAAATGTAGTTCGCAAAGGTGTATGTAAACTTCCGACTTCAACTGTACATTGATTGGTAGGTTACACTATATTTAGATATTTTAAATACTGCCTGAGACACCTTTGCTATTTTGGACATTATGGACAATATGGCTAACACTCATAGTTAGTAGTAGAATAATGGATTGGCAAGAATTTGGCGCCATCAACTTTTAGGTTAGTAGGAAAGTTAGGCAAATAATTTAAACCCACTAAATATATTCACATTCACTGAACATTTAGTATTTGAAACTCAAACATTCATTTCCCAACTGCTTTTTCTATAATCCTGCAGACTCCATATCATTTTCCATACCTTAAATTATAATGCATCCAACATTATGAATGCCCACCATGGTATTGGGCAGCTGCTGACATTTGAGAACTCATCTGCTTTAGAAATCAAACTCTAGTCATCTTATTGCGAGCACAATTTAAGCTATACATTTTGCCCAGCTGTTTTTAGAGAAGAGTGTATTGCACGGTATGCTATATGTGTAGGATATGCTGTGTTGGCTAATATGCATATGCAGTAGAGGTCTTCACGGATCCACCTGTACCCGAATACCCGAGACCCGATCCGGGACACGAGTGGGTATGGATCCAGAATTCTAAATAATGTCACGGGTCTGGGTCAGATCTGACATGATTGTCACGGGTTTCAGGTATGTGTAATTTTAACTGACTTGTCCAGAAGGGCCTGTACAGATCCGAACATGACTGCTGCAGTAGAGAGAGAAATGCTATAATTTATGCTGCTGCTCTTGCTTTTCACAAGAGGAGTGTGGCGCATGTAGCTTGTTGTTGTTGTTGTTGTTGTTGGCCAATCATAAGTCATCAAAGTGGCAATAGGCTACAGTCATAGAGTCTTCATGTGGCAAAAGTTAGGAAATATCTAATCAATGGAAGATGGAATTAAAATCATGGAGTTAAAAGAAAAAGGATAGGCTACATCGACCAAGAGCCAACAGGTAGGCTGCTACTTAATATTCTGAATCGAGTTGTTGTTATTTGTAACTGTAGGATGAGCAAGCGCATGCACTGCAGCCTCAATTAGCCTAGCTAGCTAACTTAACTAG